GGGATGTGATGGTGGAACACCAACAGCCACGTTGGACTATGAGGGAATTTTGATGATAGAAGACAGCACTGAGAATGGTATAGAAAAGTGGGGGCCTGGGTTCCGGACAGCATGGCGGAGATCTACCTACCTCCGAACTTCTCTGACATGAGAGAAAAATAAATTAAATTGTTTAAGCCACTGTTATTTTGAACTTTTTTATATGGAGATGGTCTAACCCTAAATGACATAATCATATACTATGCTGCAAAAAACAAAACAAAACAAAAAATACATTTCAGATGGCAGAACTGTAGAGATCACTGTTTCTGAAAATAAGATAAACTAGAAAATAATAACAGAATACCTTTTAAAAAACCCACTTATTTGAAATGTGTTCTTCTAATTACAGCTAAAAGATTGAATACTCTGATTAAAGAGAATTCGAAACTGTAATTTCAAGCTTATTTAGAAATTAAAACACAGATCGCTATATATAAAAATATATTAGATATAGTCAGGTATTAGATGTACTCAGAAGAAAATTCACAGCCCTAAGCATTTTTTTATTAGAAGAATGAGAATAAATAAATTAAGCAATCAATGGAAAAGTAAAGAAAAAGAATCCTACTACAAAATAAGAGATCAAAAGAATATTATAAAAACAAAAATGAATAAATTATAAAACAAAAAAACAGAAGAATTGATAAATGCATCCAAGAGCTAATTCCTAGGCACAAGTCTCACCAATCCAGTTATTTTAATAAAAAAGATGGAGGTAAGAAGTAGAGACAAGACTTGAAATCAAGCCAAGGGAAAAAAAATCATTAAAAACATCAACATTCAAAACTAAAGAGTTGGGAGAAGAGATTCGCAATATATAGGCATTAATATCAAAAATATAAAAATAACTTTTACAAATAATTAGGAAAATACAGCCAGTGGAAGAATGGACAAAGGATGTGAACAGGAAATTCAGAGAAAATAAAATATAAATGGCAATAAATATTGAAAAGAAGTAGAATCTTTTTTTGGTGTTCAGGGAAATAAAACAATTAAAACCATAATGAGGTGATACCTTTCTCCCATCAGACTGGCAAAAAAGAAAGAAAGAAAGAAAGAAAACACTAAATATACAAATACCCGTGTTACAAAGGTTTGATGAAATCTAACCTCTCTGAAGGGAAATTTGGCAATAGTTATCAAAAATTCAAATGTTCACACACAGCCATTTACACTGAAAATTCACTTTCTAGAATGCCCTTGAGAAATCATCATACTTATGCAAAAAGAGCTTTACAAGGATTTTTCCCAGCACTTATTTCTAATTAGCAAATAATAAGACACAACTAAAATCTATCACTAGGGGAGAGAATACTAAATAAGCTAACAAAAAACAAATGAATGAATGAATAAATGAATGAATGAAGCAGACCTTCAAGTAAGTAAACAGCTAATGTGTAATCAGCTAATGTAGATAAAAAAGAATATTGTTATATTTTAATAGAAAAAATGCAAAACAAAAATAATAGTCTAAATGATGATTCATATATCTATACTAATAAAAGGGTAATATACTAATTAGACCGGGAGACTTTCCAGGAGACCTTTTGGATGTCCTTCTAGACAAAGCCATGGTGATGGGGCCAAGGCAGAGGCTGTTAGGGGCGATCAGGCCAGGAGGGAAGGGCAGTTGGAGGTGATCAGACCATCAGGGGGGGCAGTTGGGGGCAAGCAGGCCAGCAGGCAGCGTGGTTAGGGTTGATAAGGCAGACAGGCAGGTGAGCAGTTTGGAGCCAGTGGTCCTGGATTGCGAGAGGGATGTTGGATATCCCCCGAGGGGTCCCAGATTGGAAAGGGTGCAGGCTGGGCTCAGGGATACTCCCCACCCCCATGCACGAATTTCATGCACCAGGCCACTAGTATGCAAATACGTAGGAAAAAAAGCCCAAAAGTCCATAGCCAACTTCTAAGAGAGTTTACTTCTAAGAGCAGATTTGGGGTTGAGGGTTGTCAGAGGAACTTCTAGTTCTTTTTGTATTGTTTGAATTCTGAGCTGAGAGAACATATTCATGTATTACTTGCATAACTTTTAAAATAGTCTTAAAAAATTCTTGGTGGTAATTTTGAATTCCAAGAACATATTCATGTATTACTTGTATAATTTTATAAAATATACAAAGAAAAAACTTTTAAATCCTGAGGCTATTTCTGGACTCCAAAGACAAAGAGAAAAAAAACCAAAGGATCCCCAGGGGAGGGGAAATGTTTACCCACAAAAGAAAAGATAATCAGGCCAACTATTGTTCATGTTTAAGAGGGGGGAAAAGACATCTCCAGATATGCAGGGATTCGCAAAGTATATTGCTCACACACAGTGAATATTACTCAGAAGTACTTTAGCCAAACAAAGAACACACACACACACACACACACACACACACACACACACACATGAAATGCCTAAGTAATTGTGACATTGACTATACCTGCTAGGTGGCTGTTTGTAAGCTAAGCCTTCCTAGAAATGTGTCCATTTCTTCTAAATCTTCCAATTTATTGCTCCAGATTGTTCAATGCATTCTGGTCTTTTAAACTTCTATTGTATCTATAGTTATTGTACTTTTTACTCCTAATATTGTTTATTTGCACCTTCTCTCTTTTTTTCTTGCTCACTGTTTCCAGAAATGTCTATTTAATTAGTCCTCCATAGAAGCCAGGAATTTACTCTAAATATCAAAAAAAAAAAAACATATGCACAAAATTATCCATTCTCATATTATTCATACTGGCAAAATATTGCAAATAACCTAAACATCCACATATAGAAAATTAGCTGGATAAATTATGGTACTTCTACATAGTAGACAGCTATGCAGCTATTAAAAAGATGAGGAAGATCTCTATAAACTGATTTACCATGATTTCCAGGATGTCATTAAAGAAAAAAAAAACACTAGAGAAAATTTACTTACTTTTACAAAAGAAATGGGGAGAATAAAATATTTACTTCCAGAGGATGGGTGGGAAGGAGGTAGAAGGGATAGAGAGGGGAATGAAACTTTTATTACGAGTTTTGATATAGCTTTGACTTTTGAGCCATGTTGATCTTTTATATATTTCCAAAAAAATCAGTAAGAATGGGAAACAACTGAAACTTAATACTAGAAATGAATAAACTTAATGGTATACAAAATAAATAGCATAAACACAACAGAATAAAAAGTTCAAACAACTTTTAAACATGGTTCTCTGATTATATACTCTCAGTAGGATATAGTCATGGACATAAAGAACTTCAAAGAAATCTTGGGCTTTCCTTATACATTTTTGGGAGTGGTATTGACACAGCAATTCTGAACGTCTTTTATTTACATGTACCTACAAAAGAAGAGAGAATCAGAATAGGTTGCTGTTGGACTCCCATTCAGGGAGTAGGGAGATGTAACTATGGAATGAAGGAGGGGAAGAACTCTGAGATGCTGGATTGGAATTAGAGGTAGTAGTATAAGCTCACGATTTTTTAAAAGTTGCACTTCCTAAACCTGTCTGCTCAGATGGCCTAGCAACAATGGCACCCTGGTAACAGTGAGCACACCCAGAATCCAGACCTTGGTTTCTAAGTACCATTACCCTCTGAGAGGAACCAGGGCTCTTTGGAGAAATGGATGATTCCAGGACTGGGACACATAAACTACAAGATGAGCCTGGAATAGCCATATTTTGTGCCATAAAGTATTTAAGTACTCAACGAATAAGAAGGCGATGGGGGAGGGGGGACACGGTGGATGGGGACTCTGTAATACTGATAACAATAAATAAAAAAATAAAAAAGGCATGTCAAATGAACAGAGAAACTTATTTAAAGAGTTCGTTTTGGTCAAATTTGGCACCGTTTGTATATAAAAATGAATAATGGCAGAAGTAAATTGTTACCCCCGGATACAAAAAATACACGAGACCATAGTGATAGTTTTAAGAAGGAGGCAGTAGGGAAATCTCTTATTTACAGGAGGTTACCAACTATTAAACATAGAAGGAATAATATATGTGAAATATATAAGAAACTTTGAGACTAGGTAAATATCCTGTTTCCAATCAGGCTTTCCACCCTGTGGTCTTAACATTTGTTGGCCATTCTTGTCTGTATCCAGTTTTAGGCTAATATGAAGAAAGCTACTACAAACATTCACATATAGATCTCTGGGTGAACGTGTGTATTCATTTCTCTTGAAGTAAATACCTAAAATTAGGATTGTTGGCTCACATTGTGACTGCATGTTTAACTTTATAAGAGACTGTAATACCATTTTACATACACCCGTGCCCAAAACCTGATTCTAAGACCACACACTGCATTTAGTTCTTATCTCTTTAGCCTTTTAGGTGTAATTAAAGATAAATGAGAATATATATATGATTTGTACAATCAAAACCACTGGTGGTCCATAAGGTCTGAAAGGTTGGCGACCGCTGCTCTGAATCTTTATCTAAGTGATGTTATTTGGATGAGCTCACTTTGTGAAAACTTAACAAGCTGTGTTTACCTTTAAGATGACTGTGCCTCTCTGTATATTTGTTTTATTTTAATGCAAAAAATTTTTAAAGTAAACTTAACCCTGAATCTAAAACTGAACAACGTGAAGACTGAATCCTTTCTGAGTTAATGTTAAACCTTAGTTTTCAGAAATCTTCCTTACTTTCCAACTTCCCAAGATTTGGGGGGAACGTCCCTGTAACCAAATGAGCATGTCTTAATGATAATACGCAGGACGGGAGATGTGCAGCGATGAAGGCCCAAACAGTGCTCTCTCTGTGTTACACTGGTGCACCTTCTAACAGAAAGACATTTGACAGTACAACCAAGAGAAGAAAAAGGAATGTGCGCTGTATTAGCCAGTTGTTCACTTCCAGGATTTTAGCCTAAATCAACAACTCAGTCAAACAGTTATGAGCAATGACGTAAAGTTATACATTAAAAATTCTTTGGGGGAAAAAAATCATTTGAAGGTAATACTTACAATTGGCGTCCCAAATGGAATGTAACCTGTGAGAGGAGAGAGAAGAGTCAGGCCTCATAATCCCACCCTCCGCCCCACAGACCTCTCAATTTAGACATCGGAGGAGACTTCTGGGCTTGGTCTTGACAGTGGCCTCAATGAAGGGGTGCAGGTCCCTTAGGGGAGAGGCACCTCTAGTCCCCAGACTTTTTCCCAGCTCAGGCCTCCCCAGAGCAGAGGGCACCCCTGTGTCCCCCAGCCTCCCTCTCTCTGTTCCCCTTTAGCCAGACAGTTCTCATTCCCCTCCCAAACCCAGAGGCCCATTCCTGAAGGCAGGCGGGCCCCATGGCGCACAATGGGGGCTCCTCCCATCATTTCCCTCCTGAGGCGCAACGCCCTGCCATGCTCACTGCACACACTGCCATGTCTTCAAAGGCCCTGGATATCCCTCAGCTTCTTTCTCACACGCACCTTTCCCTCCCTGGCATCAAGACCATTTCTAGAAAGGACATTCCCGACCCCCCTGAGGGGTGCACCTCTAAGTGCCAGAGCTCTTTCCATCGCCGGTGCCCTGCGAGACATCCTCACACACAGCGCAGAGCTGGCGTGAAGGCCAGCCGGGCCTGGGCGCTGTTTCCTCGCTGCTCATGGCCCTGGACCATCCCCTCCACCATCCCCTCTGTCGATGGGCAGCCTCCTGTCCCCAGCCTCTCACTACGGCAGCTAGAAGCCAGATCGCAGCCAACCCCGCTCCTCTGTCTGAGCTGCCTGTAAAGCAAAGGGTTGCATCCTCAGGCGCGTCATTGCGCATGCACAGGAGCCAGCGCTCTCCTACCCGCATTCTCCGGAGAGAGGTCCAAAGCTTGATGGGAGAAGTACAAGAGGAACCAGGCTCAGGGTGGGAGCCTGCTAGGGCCTCGTGCAGGGACTGGGGAGCACCCACAGCCATGGCTAGAAGGTGCTCCCAGCGTTCGCTCCCTTGGAGTTCCTCACAGCAAGGCAAGGGGGTCACCTGGCACCAATTGCCCCGTTTGCACAAGGATGTCACGTGGCTGTTTATTCTCTCCCCCCATGAGGTCAGACTCTCTGGGGGTGGGGACCCTGGCTGACCTACCCGACCGGGAATACCCACTGGTAAAGACCCTTCCTCCAGCCGCTGAGGACTTCCCAAGGGGGCATCCAGCAGCCGCGCCACCCACCCTGTGCCTCAGGTCGTACACCAGGAGTCGGGTCTGACTCCAGGCAAGGCCTCTGGCCCCTCCGCACTGCAGGAGGGGTGACCCCGCCAGCCCGGTGTGTGTGTGTCTTTCTGGGCTGTCAGGTTCACCACACAGAACCGTCCTCCTAGTGGCCACAGGGCGGGGACTTCCCGGGAGGCGGGAGTCTTCCAGCTACTCCCCCAGCCCCCTGCCCACTGGTCTGCACAGAATGGAATTTGCCATCGCTGTGCGCGCAGTGGGGCACATATAGTTCGGACTTTCTGAAGGGCGGGTTAATAGCAGCTTCAGAGACCAGCGAGTTAGTCTGGGGATTAACTGCTGGAAGGGCAGAGCGGGGAGCAGGACCTGGAGGGAGAGAGCCAGTCACAGGTGGGAGGAGTGGCTCCTCCAGGCAGGTTCGCCCGCGCCCACAGCAGGTGTTACCCCGGAGGCTGCCAATAACCTGGGAGTAACCTGCGGAGGCCCCACTCCACCCCAGCTGCTCAGGCAGAAAAGGCACTTATTTCGTTTTTAGAAAAGGCACATTTTTAAAAAGCTTCACAGGTGATTCTGAGGCCTGGCTAGAGTCTTATCCAGTTGAATCAATGTGAACAGGCAGGTGCCAGTGTGGCCATGTGCGTTTCACAGGCTCCCTCCCCTCCCCAGGCCGGCACATCTAGCAGGTGCTGGAGCTGTGACGGTTAATGGCCCTGGCTGGGCGGAAACAGAGGTCCCGGGGCTCACCTGACATTCTAAAGGGCATGAAGATCTTCTCGTTGGTGTCCGGGTGTAGAATAGCCTGGCAAGAGCAAGGAACAGAGAACGGGTGACGGTGGGAGAGGGAGGGGGCACAGGGAGAGGAAGGGAAGGAGGCGGGAAAGGAGAGTCCCCCCTCCCCCCAGGATGACTCCGATGGCCAGTGGCTGTGTCCTGCCTCCTGGCCAGGCAGTCCTTTTCCACCACTGGGGCAAGAGGAAGCTAACACATAGCCCCAACAGCACGGATCCTCTGACTAATGCTCCAAGCTGAACACAGGGAGGGCAGGCCTGTGTCTACCTCTCGAGCCCCCTGTGCCTGGCACACAGTAGGCCTGTAATGAGGACTATGGGGAAGGCACTACAGGGAAGGAGCATAGGGGCCCAGGGGAAGGTGAGCATCAGTCTTCAAAAACTCAGGCCCTGGGTACTTGCTTTGGGAAAAGGCGAGGAACAAGGGGGAGGGGAGAAGATGGGCCCACAACGAAAGGGTCCCAGGGTCCAGGGGAGGGGAGGAAAAGAAGCCAAAATTGGATTACCTGCTTGATTTTCTGTGCACTCCAGAGCTGGAAGGAAGGAAGGGGGAGAGGGGGAGGAGAAAAAATTAAAGCACATATCCCTTTAAAGCAGCAGCTCTCAACCTGTGGGTCGCGACCCCTTTGGCGGTCCAACGACCCTTTCACAGGGGTCGCCTAAGACCATCCTGCATATCAGATATTTACATGACGATTCATAACAGTAGCAACATTTCAGTTATGAAGTAGCAACGAAAATAATTTTATGGTTGCGTCACAGCATGAGGAACTGTATTTAAAGGGCCAGAAGGTTGAGAACCACTGCTTTAAGGTCTCAAAGTCACATTTCTAACCAAGAGATCTAGCTGCAAAGGGCTTAAGAGGCTCAGGCTGTACTGGTCCCCCCAGGTCTGGCAGCTACTCTGAGGGTGTGGCGTCAGGGACCCCAAAACAGCAGAGCAAGGGGATCTCACACAGATCATTTAAACCAGTGGTTCTCAACCTTCTGGCCCTGTAAATACAGTTCCTCCTGTTGTGACCCAACCATAAAGTTATTTTCGTTGCTACTTCATAACTGTAATGTTGCTACTGGTATGAACCGTAATGTAAATATCTTATATGCAGGATGGTCTTGGGCGGCCCCTGTGAAAGGGTCATTTGACCGCCAAAGGGGTCGCGACCCACAGGTTGAGAACCGCTGAAAACGAAGGGTTCTCAACCCTGGTTGCTGTAAGGTTGCTTTAAGAATTCTCCCAGCGTTTTTCTAAAGCTTCCTAGTAGGCCAGGTAAAAAGCCTGATTTAAATGAAGATCCTTCGACTGTCTCCCAGAATCGGTGGAGGCAGCCTCACATGACTTTTTCAGAGCGAGGCAGGCTGCCGGGACTCCCCGCTTTGCCACTTCCACCTCTGAGCCCCAATTTCCTCTTCTGTAAAATGGGAATAATAGCTGTGCCTCTAACATCATTGAAAAAATCCATGCCAAGTTCTTGGAGCAGCACTGGGCACATAGTAAGTGCCTTTTAACTGCTTGCTGTTGTAGGTATTATTATTCCTATTGTTGTTATTATAAGAAGGTGGTAAGGAGAAGAAAGTTGCTTTCAGATGAGTGGAAAAGTTGTCTCTCTCCAGCACCAGCATGTGGCACAGGCTGGAGAAACAGAACAATCTGTCAATTCCTTCAAATGATATAAATACTGCCTTTCATTGAATCTAAGACATCATTAATCCGAAGACATTATTATGTGCCGCTAAGTAAGAAAACAATGACATAATGCCAAGACCACCACCAATAAAAAGACTCATCCCATTTAAGAGATGTTAAAATGTGATAAAATGGGCGTGTTAGAAGCAAGCAAACCCGGTAAATAAACATTTACATGGTGGCAAACCAAGGGCCAGTGCACTTTTAATGGAGGAAAAAGGGTCGGAGGTGAGAGGTAAGACGCGGCCAGGAGTGGTGGTTAGTTTTGTAACAGAACAGTTCACTTATGCTTCCTTTACAGGGCAGTGTTGCCTGGAACATAAATTAAGTTGCAGAAGGCTACTGGGTAGCAAAAATAGAAGTTATAAAATTGATATATTAAAGCTTATGCATTATACTCACAGCAGAGTCCTCAAGCCTTAATTCACAGCCTAATTACTCTTATTTTAGATACATTTCAAACATATTTGATTGTCTGCTATTCCAGGAAGATTGGAGGCAGTAGAGTTTTGAAAAATAATAATTGCGGAACAGAAGGGACTCGAGGGAGAAAAACCAAATGCAGAATCAGTGTCAGCCAAAGGAGGTAAGTGAGAGCATACAGCAGAGATGAAAGAAAAAAAAAAGATAAAAGGCTGACCCTCCTTTGCCTTCCTGAAGTGCACCCACAAGTCCCAGGGCCATTTTAGGTGCGAGCCTTTCAGCACCGTCCTGCATCTCCCACAGTGCTGGCCACACAGGAAATCTAAAACTATTCTAAAATTAAAATTTTATTTAAAAAGAAAGACACCTCAAAATTCCTTCGTACAGTTCTTTGAAAAAAATTCCCCATGATTCTGAGGAAGAGGATAAGACATCAGAGGACAGTGTAAAGGGCCGGTGTTAGAACCAGGCAGGCCTGTGTTCAAATCACTTACTGGAGGCATGCCCCTGAGCTCATTACATCTCCTTCATGCCTCAGTTTCTCCATCAGTGAAATGGGCTGTTGTGAAGGTGGAGCGGAGGCTGGATGCTCCTGGGCAGTTTGAGCTTCCCTTCAGGCAGACAGCTAAGCCTACACTGCCCAGCTTCCCCCACCGTCGGGGGGTGAGGGGGGCACCCATTGACCTGGTGCTGGCTGATGGCCTGTGATGTTTGCCACGCCCAGGCCTGGACCCAAAGTCTCCCACAGAGAATCCAGGGAAGGACGGTGAGGCCCTGGAAGACGGTAAAACCATGAAGGGGAAGGAGCTGGGTCCCTGACAATGTCATGTGCCAAGTCCCTGAGCTGCGCTGGACTCTGACATGAGTGAGAAATGGACCGTACTGTATAAGCCCCTGAACTCTGGGGCCTGTGTGTTACAGCACTTGGCTTGCCCTGACTGACACAGAGGTTTAAATGAGATACGCATATCTAAACTGCTTGGCCCATAGGACATGCTCCATAAATGCCTAAAACAGAGGGACGGTCATTGAAATGAGCAACATTTTTAATGACTGAATAAATTTTAAAGTCACTTCACGTCTATTGTCTTATGCCTGCAGCATGCCTGTGAGGTGGGTAGGTTCTTTTCAGACAACGTCACTCATCTCAGAGACTAAGTAACGCAGTCCCGGGTCCCTGGTGGCTGGATGGACATGGGCACCCAGGCCTCCCGGCCTCCAGACTCACGTCCTCCCTCTCTCCAGGGCCCTGGGGGAGATGACGTCTGGTCTGGCCAGCGTGACTGCCAGGCCGAGGCATGAGAGGAGGAAGAGAACTGGCTGACATCATCCTGAGGGCGCAGAGCCTCCTGGCAGCTGATGCTCCTCCCGCCGAAGTCCCGCCAAGCAGCACTGGTAACCCATGGCAACATCCGTGTCCCTCAGGTTCAGGGACTGTCCTTTACCTCCACCCAGGGGCCGCGATGGAGAGTCAGGCAGGTGCTGGCTTAGCAGCAAAGGCAGAAGTCCAGCAGGGCTGTCAGCAGGCAAGGCCAGGAACCCAGAGCTCACAGGCCCGTCCCTTCCTCCCTCCCCCGAAGACACCACCACACACGTGGCCCAGGCAGGCTAGCGGCACCGATATGGGCCATGGTCTCACAGGATAGGTCATTCCATGCTTTCTATTTTGCTGAGCACTTTCCCGCAGAAGCACTGAGATCTGAACCCAAGCTGTGTGGTTCCAGAGGCCCCGCTCTTAATCCCCACATCCCCCTGATTCTAATGCTGGCACGACAGTGCACACCACTCTGCCCTCGGGGCATCTAAAACACTGTGGCGCCTGGCTGGCGTGGCTCAGTGGTTGGGCATCGACCTATGAACCAGGATTCCTGGTCAGGGTACATGCCTGTTTGCTGGCTCGATCCCCAGCAGGGGATGTGCAGGAGGTAGCTGGTCAATGATTCTCTCTCCCTCTCCCTTCCTCTCTGAAATTAAAAAAAATTATATATATATAATAAAATATTGTGGAGATCTTCCCACATCAGAGCACAGAGAGCACCTCATTTTTCCTAATAGAAACCTTGAATGAATGCACTGTATATTCTACTGTGCCCTATGAGTGGACTTTTAGCCTACTTTCAGTCTTTCTTATTGTGGTAAAATATACATAATGTGAAACTTACCATTTTAGCCACTTTAAAGTGGCAGCTCTACGGCGTTAGGTGCATTCACACTATTGTACACCATCACCAGCATCCATCTCCAGAACTTCTTCATCTTTCCCAACTGAACTCTGTACCCAGTAAGTACCCCCCCAACCCCCCATCCCCACCACCCTCTCCCCGGCCCGTCCTTCTTCCCCAACTCCTGGCAGCCACCATCTTTCTGCCTCTGTGAATCTTATCGCGCAAGATGGTCCCTCCCCGTGGGATCATACAATGTCTGTCCTTTGTGTCTGTCCCATCTTTCACGGTGACAACCATGCTCTGGAGAATTTCCCTGGAGTTGTCACTGTTATATCATTAGAATTTTAAGAGAAAGGATAAATGTGTTCAGATATTTCTGCAGGATACAGGGGAACTAATGGTTACTCTAGGGAGAGGCAGGGGGCAATTGGGGGGCAGGGGAAGGGAAACTTGTTTTTTAGTCTCTGTTTTTTACATCTTTAGGATTCGGTGGCTTGTTCATCTGTTACTTATTCAAAAAAAGAATTGTTAAGAAATGTTAAGCCCTAACCGGTTTGGCTCAGTGGATAGAGCGTCAGCCTGCAGACTGAAGGGGCCCAGGTTCGATTCCGGTTAAGGGCATGTACCTTGGTTGTGGGCACATCCTCAGTCGGGGGTGTGCAGGAGGCAGCTGACCGATGTTTCTCTCTCGTCGATGTTTCTCTTTATCCCTCTCCCTTCCTCTCTGTAAAAAATCAATAAAATATATATATATTTTTAAAAAAAGAAATGTTCAGAGCAACCGTGAAAAAATAGATATAGGGTACACAACACCTAAGCTCTTTATCGACCTCTATGGCACGAACTGTTTATTGTCCGACAAAAATCCATGTTCCCTTCTTCTGCAGTAATAGGACAGTGGTGGGCAGGGAGCCGACCTGCTGCACTGCATTTCCCAGCCTCCTTTGCAGGGCAGGGGGCTGAATTGCTGTATGATATCTCCCAGCTTCCTTTGCAGTTCAGCTTATCCACGTGACTGAGTCCCCCAGTGGCATCGGATGGGAAGTGAGAGGTGCTTTTCCCTAACCAGGGCCTCCCATTCCATGCTTTCTGTCCCCCTCCTGTGAGCCGGAGCCAGGATGTGGCTGCAGCCCAGCGTGAACCACGCAGAGGCCACCCCAAGGAGATGGTGGAGAAGCATGACGGAAGGAGCCTGGGGCCCTGAGCCATCCTGTGGAGCAGAGCCACCTGCCCACCGGACCTTGAACTGTCACATGGGCGA